GGGGGGGGGGGGGGAGAGGGGGATGCGTTGCGCGCCATCTTCTCGCGCGCGACGACGTACGACCACGGGCCGTACGCTGCGGCGAGCGAGGTGAGGGCGCCTGGGGACATGTCTCGGACATGTCATGGACATGTCTCGCCCACGGGCCGTACGCTGCTGCGAGCGAGGTGAGGGCGCCGCGAAGGATCGCCGTTGACTGCTCGAGCACCTGTGAGTGGCTCATGTGTGGTGGTGGATTGTGGAGGAGCGGTTCACGGCCGCGGGAGAGGGCGGCGGCCGTGCACTACTCTCGAGCACCTGAGCCGACTCCGCCTTCCGCTTGTGCACCTCATACGTCATCGCGGCGTGGTCGAGCGCGGTGGAGGGGTACTTGTAGAGGGTGGCGCCGAAGTAGGTTGCGATCTTGGAGACCTTGTCGCCGAGGACCGCGCCCGAGAAGAAGACCATGAAGAATGTCTTCTGCACGAGCTCCGGCACCTGAGGGGGTGGGAGGTCAGGTCAGGGACACTTCTCCACACACACACACACACACACACACACACACACACACACACACGCACACACACGCACACACACACGTAGAGCAGGTGTGGGGCAAGGGCCAGGGCAAGGGCCAGTGCGAGGGCCCTCGCGTCTCCCCACACCCCCAGACGCGGGCGGGAGCTGGCACGGCAGGACACGTGCACGGCCCAGTGCGCGTGGCGAGCAACACCTTGCCCGACGTGTCGAGCAGCTTCGTCTTGACCGTCTTTTGCTGGAAGACGGCGTTGCCGCGCGTGGCGCGGAAGACGACGCGCTCGAGCGCGGCGACGGACTCGGTCTTGATGACGCCGGCGAGCACGGAGAGCATGGAGGAGGCCTGGCCGCCGAACTCGGTGAGGGAGAGGAGGGAGGTGGCCATGTCCGACTCGGACAGGGCGGGGGCGGCGCCGGTCTTGTAAAACTGCAACGGCAAAAGGAGGCCGCGGGGGGTCAGAGGGGGAGGGGGGGGGGGAGGTTGGGGAGAGGGGGAGAGGGGTGGGAGGGGGGGGAGGGGGGAGGGGGTTGGGCACTGCTCAGATCGTCCAAAATGACACTCACGGTTACTCGGAGGCCATGGAAGTGTTGGAAAATCATCATCAGAAGAAAGGTGTCGGGCAGGGCAGGGGGGGGGGGGGGGGTGCTCTCGGAAACGCGCGCCTTTTTGCCCATCTCGACCACAATGGACTGCTCGTCGAGGGCATTGTTGTTGCGCTCGAAGAG